CTTAAAACATGAATTAAAAATTTTAAATTAGCGTGCATCAATTCATAAACTCTTGTTGATATTTCTCAAGATATTACAAGGCCATGATGTGGCCTTGCTAGCAAATGGGCCTACTAAATGAGCCTAAGTTTAAAGGCCTGTTCTGGGCAACAAACTTTGGGCTTCTGGCAGCCCATTTACAGCATGGCCGCGCACATATCCGCGCCTTATCTCCCTCCCTCACAGACCTCTCTTTTCCGTAGTCTCTTTCGCTTTAATGATGTTTCCAGACAAAGTGGGGCGCAATTGTGGATTTTTTGTGAACCATGTTGCAAGCAGCAACATCAAGCTGTAAACATCTGCTCGTCCCAAGGCAAAAAAAAACAAAAAGGCCAAAAACAGGAGATTAGATTATAATTAGAACAATTCTGAAAGTAAAATTATTATGTTGTCCAAGAATCTGTGAAAGAAAAAAAAAAAAAAAAGTGAATGGGATAAGAGTATATAGACATCACATTTCACTAAATTTAAGAATAATCCTTTTTTCTTGCCCAAATGACAGGGAAAGATACAATCTACTCCTTCAACTTGTAGTGAAAGAAAAGAGTAAACTTTTTATACATATTCCTCCCTTCAGTTTCTAAGCATAAATATTCCCTTCTCAGAAATAGCAGCAAAGAATATTATTTCATGGTTTTGTACGACAATGACAAAATATATATATATATATATACATACATACAGGAATAATATTACTAATGATCTGTTGGTCTGAGTAAAAGGAGTTCAATTCATCTTAAGTAAAGTTTAAGTTTGAGTCTTGTAAATGGAGAAACATGCGTTTGAGAGCTTTTCCCCTAATGGAATCTGACGCAACTCGATTTCGGATTAGTCGGGACTCAATATGGTTATCAGATACCAAAAGGTTAATATAAAAAATATATATATATATATACATACATACAGGAATAATATTACTAATGATTTGTTGGTCTGAGTAAAAGAAATTCAATTCATCTTAAGCAAAGTTTAAGTTTGAGTTTTATGAATGGAGGAACATGCGTTTGAGAGCTTTTCCCTTAATGGAATCTGACGCAATTCAATTTCAGATTAGTTGGGACTCAATATGGTTATCAGATACCAAAAGGTTAATATAAAATATATATATATATAGGAATAATATTTATCCATCTTACCTCTTAAAGATTAGGAGAAATATTATTTTAAAATTACGTTATTTTAATAAATACCTATTGAAAAAAATTAAAATATCATATTTTTAAAATATGAATTAAGGTATTTTTTTTCTAATTTTTTAAAAGTAAAATGGATAAACACTAATTCCTATATATATATATATTTATATATATGCAGAGTAAATTAATGGAGCTTGTTTAGTTATTAAATTGATGTACACTCAAACCAAATTTCAGATTATTGCATGGACAGGAATTATTGATGTTTCCTGAGGGAAAACCTTTTCACCAAACTGTTCTCGTTGAGGGCGTTAAGTTGTCTTTGAAGTTATTTTCTAGTAACGCTTTTCTTACATAATATTTTATTAAAATATTAATTTATTATAATTAAATTAAATTAATTTAATAGTTTATATAATTTAATAATTATATTAATATATAAAGTTTTTTAAGTAATTATCAAATAATAATACAATTTTTTATAATAAAATATTTAAAAATATCACAATCACACCAGTGCACAACAGTTTCAAACACAATCTTAAAATAGATGTTGACAACCAAGAAACAATTGTGGACCTGAAGCACTGAAGTCGTCGAGTCTTTGGCAGATATAGAGAAAATGTCACTCTGGATAAACCCAGAAAATAAGAAAATATTTTTTAAATAAAAAATATATTTTTTTTGTGTAAGTTTATTTAGGGCCAGGGACTTTTGCCAATATTCTCACTTGATATGTGGATCTAATTCTCCCTAACATCAATCCATTTTCATGCCTGTAAATCAGCTTAGATCTGTCATTTTATGATATGCCAAGTCAATAGATTCTTTACTCTCTTTTTTTTTTCATATTCTGAGTTACACAATAATTTTAACACACATTGCCAGCATGACATCAACCTTCCACTAATCTTAATTACCAAAGAAATGTAATTATATAGATGTAAGAATAGCATGTTCAAAAATATAGATGTAAGAATAACTCAATAATTCAAAAAAAAAAAAGAGAATAATTCAATAATTATTATTTTATGAGATTACTACATATCAATCTCAATTTTCAATAACAATTAGAGTTTTAACTTGCATTTGGAAACTGAAATCTCATCATATTAAATGTT